AATGTATAAAATCATATTAAAAATAAACTTGTAATACGACAAAACTTTCATTCAACAAATCATTAAAATAACCAAAAGAATTGAATGAGGAACTTATAGCTTATGCAATAGATGCAATACAATAAATATGAATCTCGTAACTTTAACTACCTAATTGGAAACAAAAACACATCCAAATCTCATTGTGCAGTGAATATGTACCAACAAAATTTATCATAATTCCTTTTTTTGACAGCAAACACATACAACAACCACTCGAGTTGGTTCAAACTTCAAAGTAGAATCAACACTAAGACGTTCCTCCCATAAACTATCAACATATCATATGGTAGAGCTTTCAAAACAGATTTTGAAACAAAAAGTACTTCTAGGTATAATACTCTACAAACAACCAACACAAAAATGACTATATATAATGAACATTTAATTCTACAATGTTGTCATTCCATCTAATATCAAACCATAAAAAATAACCGAGATAAATTTTCAATCCTATACATCAAAGTACATCAAAGTACATCAAAAAAATGAAAACTCATTTTCAATAGATCATATCACTTTCATCTAGATAAATCTTATTAGCTCAATTGATTGACTATCTAAACTTACATAATTTCAATCAGCCATAATCAAAGCATAAGGAGATAAGGTAAAAGTTACAACTCATAAAAAATCCAAGTCAATATAAGTCAAAACAATGGTCTTAAGTTCTAAAACAATCAATAGATTAATGTACTACAAAATCACAAGAAAAAATAAGAATGAAAATCTAATCTATAGATGGGAAACCCATTTGTGAAAATAAGGGAACAAACATCTTCCAAAAATGAGAAACCTTCTCCTTCACATATTGTCTCCTTCACATATTTTAAACCCATCTACGAAAACTCCAAATTCAAGTGAGCACTAAATATAAATCTATCAAAATTCGAGATACCAATACCAAAATTTGAGATACCCATACAAAAATTTGAGATACCCATATGAAAATTCGAGATACCCATACAAAAATTTGAGATACCCATATCAAAATTTGAGATACCCATATAAAAATTAGAGATTCTCATATCAAAATTCGATCAAACTCAAAAAATAGCAATTATTTTCTTGAAAGATAAACATAAAGTTGTGTACCAGATTGTGTGGAGAAGCTGCAAACAAGAACTCTTTGATTGTGAACTGCAAAGGAGAAATAATAAAAAAATAGTAAAGCGTCAAAACTTGTGAACTGCAAAGTGAGATAGGTTTTTGAGATGTGAAAAATATTTACTAGAAAAATTGAGGGAAACCAAAAGAAAAACGGGAATGCTACTACGCGATATTTTTTTTGGGGGATCTGTGAAGGTTTTGAATCCCTGCTAAATATTTATATTTACGTCAGTTTAGAAAACCCCTATTATTTAATATAATTTGTGGGGGTTGGAACTGACCTCAGTTTTTAAACTCCCGCTATTCAAGCGTTTTTTTGTAGTGTTTAAACGAAAGAATTATCAATGCATGCAAAATACTATTCAAGAATTGCTTATTTAACTATTCATACTTTGTTAATCGCTCATCATTCCCACAACCCTAGTTGTGGAGTTTAGTTACCCATAATCATATGAACACAATTCATTGTTTTTAGACGAAAGAATTATGAACTTACTTAATTGAGAATAACAAACCCGGAATTTCAACTTGAATTTCAAAACCAAAACCTTCAAAACCAACTAAGGAAATCAAGAATTGCTAGGTTTGCAAAAATAAAATCCAAAGTCACAAAGTAGAACTAAAGTAATAAAGTCTAACCCCCAAAAACGAGGTTTTCATGCCCTATAGAAAAATAAGTCCTAACTAAAAAGGAAACGAAATAAGGAAATTATGTTCGGGTACGCGTCTTCATTCCACGAGACTGACTCACGGTCCGTCAATAGATCTACGGTCCGTGAGTCCCTTCCGTCACCCAGGACTTAGGCAATATTTTCAGCTTCCAAAACTCAACTTCTTTGAAGCAAACGATGGACCACCAATACGTACCGTAGATCGATCTACGGTCCATCGATCCCTCTCTGTATCTCCACACTTAGAATCTTCAAAAATCAGGTACTGGAACCCTCGAAATATCATTCTACGGATCAGCAGTGCGGTCCGTAGATCAATCTACGGACCGTCAATGGCCACCGTGGTTCCACACTTGATCTGATTTCCCTGATTTCCCTTTCATGCCTTGCCTGCTGATCTACGATCACCATCTACGGAGCGTCAATGGACCTACGGTCCATAGATCACCTCCGTAAATGCCCTTTTCTGCACATCTTTCAGTTGTCTCTTTATTTCTACGTCCAAACATATTTCCTGAAAAAACACAATAAAAACACATAAAAACTAATACGAAAAGGCCCTAGACATACACAACTCTTAAGTGTAATGTATTAAAAATACCGTAAACCCATGGTATATCAGAAGCTGAGGAAGAAAAGGTTAAATCAAAGGGAAATCAAAGAGGGGGAAAGAAATCTCCTGCAAAGAGGGTGAAGGTTAAACAACTGAAATCTCTTGCTAAAAGAGAAAAAAGGGAAAGCAGTTAGAAGAACAACCCGTAAAAGGACCTAGTCCAGGGTTAAAAATCAAATCGAAGAAAGGGAATTGACTAGAGAGGAGCGGGTTGAGAAAATGAAGCAACAAAGAGTCTTGAACAAAAGAGTCTTTGACCGCGACATTCTAACAAAATTTGGTATGGCCAATCTGGTTGACGCTGTCACCATTCAAGGCTGGAATCATCTTTTTAAAACACCAGTTCCATACTTGCACGAACCTGAAGTGCGTGAATTCTTCTACAAAATGGAATTACTGGACGGTGGTGGAATCAAAACTATTGTCCAGAATGTGGAGATTTGTCTTGATGGAGAAAATCTGGGAATCATTCTAAGAGTGCTTGTGATAGGAATTCAAACTATTGAGGGTTGTAAACCAACTGGTGATTTCTCGAAACTTGCTACCAAACAAGGAGATGTCAAGCTTGCAGGGCACCCCAAGAAGTTTCTCAAAGGGGAGTATCAGTTGATGTTCGAGTTCATTAACAAAGTAATGGTACCCGGGACTGAGAAGAGAACAATGGCATCCGCTGCCGATCTCTTCCTCATGGAAAAGATTGATGAGCTTGAAGAGATCAACCTTCCTGCAATTATGCTGGAACATATGCACATGATTAGGACATGGAAGAATGCCAAGCACGGCATTCCTTATGGGTATCTGTTAAACCTTATTTTTAATCATTTTGAGGTTCCATTAGGAAAAGGGGTACCTGGTACCACCAAGCAGATGTTCACTGTGTCTACTCTACTAGAATGTGAGTGCATTGAGGGACAGGCTAGAGAAAGATCTCAGGTGGCGGATGTTCTGGAGCAGCAGGCTACTCTTAAGAGAGAGGTGACTGATCTCACCAAGATTTTGAGCAATAAGGAGGTTGAAATCACTAGGCTCAAGTCTGAACTACAGAAGGTTGTTTCCAGAGAACCTGGTACCAGTGAGGGTCATGAGTAGGTGCTCAAAGAATTGAGGGATGAAAACACAATGGTGCTGAAGACAAATGCCTCTCTCAATAAGGAAATTAAATCCCTAAACAAGCAACTGATACAGGCCCATGAGGGTGCAAATGAGCACCTAATGATGTTGATGCGTACTTTTAATCCCTCCCCTCCTCCGTCCTAAATATGTCTCGTCTCTCTAGTTGTCTCTTGTTTTCTCCACCTTGTGCTCCTAAACTCTTGTGGCCTTATGTTGTTTTGACTGATTACAGTGGTCAATATTTGTGATATAATGCTAATTCGGGTGTTTCCCTGCTTATGTGTGGCTTAATATTCTCTTTTTTCTTTCATACGCATGTTCTGTGTAGCCCGTGGCCCTGAATTCTTGCTTTCCGCGCTTTTTAACTTGCATATGTTTACTGCTTCACCTTTTCAATGATGTCAAAAGGGGGAAGTTTTGTTGCAATTCGTTCAGGGATTAAGGGGGAACTGACTGATTAAGGGGGAACACCAGTTATTGAATTGAATGAATGTTTTGTTCACTCACGAAAGGAGTTAATGCAGGTTGTTTGTCATCATCCAAAATGGGGAAATTGATAAGGGCTTAAGTTCCTAGATGTTTTGATGATCTCCTTAGAAGTGCAGGGACCTGGTCATCTGCAGAGTATGAATACTCGTCCAGTGTCAAAGTGTTGAACAACTGTAAAGCCTATCCGTATCAGAAAGTTGGTGAAGCTGCAGAGTACTTCACCAATCAGAAGCGACGAGGTTGTTTCTACGTTGGATAATAATTCTTCATGGTATATATCAAACAACAAACAACATTATTCATTATTCATTCAAAGAAAGATACTTTCAAGTTTCAAACCAGCAAGGGACCTGATAGAAGTGCTTCCATTGCTTTCTGTACTAGCTATATTTTTATTTGCTTGTTAGTTCTTATATTGTAGGATTCATTTCACTTGTGAAAGAAACGTTTCAAACTTGTGTGAATCATTGTAAAAACTAGGCTAAGGGTAACTTAGTTTCTTACTATAAAAAGTCTATATTAATCGGTTAGGATTAGTATAGTGGGCAGTGTTGTATATGCTCTGGCTCAGCTAAGTGATAAGAATTATTATTTAATGTGGAGATTAGCAGGCTAATCTCCTTTTGTAAACTGGCTTTTACTCTTGCTTGGAGAAGATTAGTGGAAGCAGTTTGAAAGTCCTGTTGAGAACAGGTCGTGCTTTTACTCCCTTGAGCAAGGAGGTTTCCACGTAAAGTTGATTGTCAATCTTTACTTTCAGCATTTGTTCCTTATTGTTTATCACTGTAACTGTGTTGATGACCTGGTCCCATCTGCATAAGTGGACGCATACATTCCAACATATACTACTACTACTACAAGAACAACATATCCAGTATATTCCCACAAGTGGGGTCTACGGAGGGTAGGTGTACACAGACTCAAAAGAATGAAATTACTAAAGTGAACATAAGTACATAGTATACCTATCGATTCGATTTCTGAACTTTCTCAAGAATTTCTCATTGTCTTCCTCAGCAACCTTGAAATGTTTATCAATAAATTGTTGTCTCTCATGCATACCAAGCTTCTGAACATCAACTTCCCTGTGGATCACCTTGTCGTAATCCCCTTGATTATTCTCATTCTCCACGTAAGTTTCAAGGATTGTCTTTCTTAAACGATCGTAAGTAGGTAATTTCTCTAGAGCAGACCACTTGAGAGCTTCTTCATCTTCCTCAACACTAATAAGTCATATGCATGCTTCCAATTGGAGTACTAAACACATCTTCCATTTTATTTAAAATTATATTTCTTCACCTATAGTAACAATTTTTTTTTTCGTTCTTGACTTTGAAGTGCAAGAAAAAACAAAGAGAATGTGTTATAAAATGAAAACACGAATAATTGACAACAACTTGTTTGGAATTGAGACGTAAAATTCTGCGTTGGTTAGTTGGTGATGGACGCCGAAGGCGCCTTCACAAAAGCTTGAAATTTTTTTCTTTGTAATGACATGTTATAAAGTTTTCGTGTTGTTGATTCTTAGGTGTAGTGCTTCTTCCCCTATATATGTTGCTAAGGAGATGCAAATATATAGAAGAGAAATAGCTCTAATATATAGATGAAGAAATAAAATGCAAGAATATGTAGTGTGTAAAGAGACTACGTATTCATTAGTTCATGCTATAATGGATAAGATATATGTTTCTTTTATGGATGACTTGCTCTACATTTATATATATATATATATATATATATAAATGTAGAGCAAGTCATCCATAAAAGAAACATATATCTTATCCATTATAGCATGAACTAATGAATACGTAGTCTCTTTACACACTACATATTCTTGCATTTTATTTCTTCATCTATATATTAGAGCTATTTCTCTTCTATATATTTGCATCTCCTTAGCAACATATATAGGGGAAGAAGCACTACACCTAAGAATCAACAACACGAAAACTTTATAACATGTCATTACAAAGAAAAAAATTTCAAGCTAGCATTTTTGATCCTTGTTATTATCGTATTCCGATATTAACCCTTGTATTATTTGATTGAGCACATTAAATCTTCAATATATCGAAAGTGTGATTTTGGTTCTTTAAGTTGACCGATGTCAAATATTTAACAGAATCTGTGTTTAAAAAATGTACTTCAAAAAAACATAAAATGCTATTGTTTTTCACTCTTGGCTGAATTATTACACTTCAATCTCTTTATCGTAAGAAACTTTATTCTTTGCCTTATTTGAAGTTATAATATACGTAGTCAAATAACACAAGGATTAAAACTAAAATAATGCAATAACTCAAGGATCAAAATCGCAATTTATCCCATATATTTGAATATTTGGTGACTGTTTTTGAGAAAGTGTTTCACTTTTCTTTTCTTTTTTTGAGTGTTTCACTTTGTTATGGTTGTCAACAAGGGAATTTGGGAATCCCCGTCCGTTTCTCCATTTTCTAAAGGAATATATGCGAATCCTTAAGATTGACAACTATAAACTATACTCTACTATATGGAGTACTTTGTTTTCTTTGATGTCTGCTTCTGTTTTTCTTTCCTCACGTTTATATTAGTTTTGACTAAGAGTGGCAAACGAGCGGGTTGAGTCTAATATGAATTGATCAGAAATGAGTTAAATAAAAATGAGTAAAATATTCAACTCGATTCATATTTTAAATGGGTAAAAACGAGTCATCCAATAAATAATATGGATATTCATATTATTATAGAGAACATGTTAAAAGCTTCAAAAGTAAAAACTTTTACTCACTCCCTCCCACCCCGCCCCACAAAAACAACTTTTTAAATTTATATTTTATCACCCCCACCCCCAACACCTCAAAAATTAAATTTATTTCTTACTACTCCAT